ATAGATAGATAGATAGATAGATAGGCAATAAATACAATGAGTGCATTGCTTGAGAATGAACCAAAAATGCTACAATTCAGTATCTTGTATGGTGTTCTGAAATGCTTTACTGGCAGTGTGTTTGTATAAATCATGCAGCAAACTATTTGGCATCTCAGTGGTCATCTTCATCTCATCTTCTCTCATTCTGTTGCCTTCTTTCATCTGTCATTTAGTGCCACTGTGGTATGTAGTCTTGAATGAGTCTTAATGTTCTGTACAGCTGTGTTTGTCTAATCACATCCATTTCAGGACATCCAAGTCACCACCAGCTGTTTTGCATCAACTCATGATCTATGACATGCTTCAGTGTGCCCTCATTCCCATGTACATGAACCATTTGACTGAAATGTTTTGCCAGTGCATTGACCTCTCGAACAAAATGTTCATGTTCTAAATTATGACAATCCCCTCGATTTCCCGAACTCTCATAATTCCTCCTCCTCTCTTATCTGTTTTTATTCACCTCTGCCCTTCCTCCCCTCCTCGGTGTCTCTGCACCCTTGCTTTGCCTTGCACAGGCCGGGGTAACTTGCGCCCCCAGCTGGACAGTGCCATGCAGGACGTCAATGACTTGTACCTGCTGATGGAGGAGACGGAGAAGCAGGCAGTGCGCAGAGCCCTCCTGGAGGAGAGAGGGCGTTACTGTACATTCATTAACCTGCTGCAGCCTGTGGTGGTGAGGAACATTTTGCCTTTGTACACCTGAGAGTTGTAGAAAGTGAGTGGAAAGTGAGCACTGATATGAAAAGATGTTCTGCATAGCTTTCTTTTGTTGTTGATGAGGTAGCTGTTTAATTCGATCCATCCTGGTTTCTTCCTCCAGAATGTTGAGATTGCCATGCTGGGAGAGATAACACATTTGCAGCCAATTATTGATGACCTTACTGTGTTGACTGAAGACCCGCACAAGCTGCCACCAGCCAGTGAGCAGGTAACAGAGATGTAATGCTGAAAATTATTCCACTAATGCTGCTTTATCATCTGACATTACCAGAGCTGGTCACATTATCTGGATCAAAATCAAATTATCTAGAATTGCATTCCAAGGTTATCCAATGATAAGTCTCGGTGATATTCTATATTTTGATCCTACTAACAAACATATATCCAAAGTATAATAAAATGTATTATGGAAAACCTTTAAAAACTGGCACTGCAGTTTATTTGGAATCAATTTCACCACACTCTCTGGCAGCTAAAAAGATATACACCAGTCCCCAAAAAATACATAATTTATTCCTGTTTGAGTCATCCTTGTGAAAAACTAAAGTGCCCATCTGTTTGAAGAAAATATTTAGCTTTTTTGGGAAATGATTATGTGTATATATATTTACAGTATATATACACAATATATTAT